GTGTATGGGGCTGGGGCTATAGCTCAGTGGCAGAGGGCTTGCCTAGCACACGTGAGACATGGGGTTCAATCCTTAGCACTGCATAAAAATAAATAAATTAACAAAACAAAGCCATGCTGTCCATCTACGCATATGAAAATAAAAAATAAAAAGAGGTGATATGTATGGTACATGTCACAATTGCTTGGGCACACAAGTCCTCTGCCCTTGGATGGATGTAATGAAGATAACTGTGTCAACACGGGTTTTTGGTGGAAACCTACTTATTGAAATAACATTCAACTGCTTCCTGGCAGCCATATGTTGGGGTTCCAGCTATGAATAAGACAGCAAATTTCTCTGTATTCACATGGAGCTCAAGTTTCTAATGGGGAGATATACAGGCAACTTTGAATCAATTAAAAAAAAAAAACAACTTCAGATACAGAGTGCAATAAACAAAATAAAACTGGGTAGTGGGTCTGTCATCGCCCAGTATTGTACCCATGAACCATTTGTGGATATTTAAAGCTAAATTGAAATAAATCAAAATGAAATAAAATTTAAAAATTAGTTCTTCAGTCGCACAAGTGACATTTCATGTGCTCAGTAGCCACATGTGGCTGGTGGCTACATTTGTATGGACACAGAACATGCCCATCATCACATGAAGTCCTGTTGGATGGTGCTGGGCATAGCAGCAGCTGGACAGATACCCTAGGGGGTTTTAGGGAAGGTCTTACTGTGAATCTGGCATTTTTGTTAAGATACAAAGCCACCCATGTGAAGATTTGGTGGGGGAAACAGCATCCCTGGGAAGAACAAATAGCAAACGCAAAGATCCTGGGGTGGAAATAAGCTGTACCTGTTTGAAGATCCAAAGATGGCCCATGTATCTGATTGACTTGGAGAGGCAGCAAAGAGCTAGATTAAGTATGACCTTGAGTTTTGTTCCACCTTAGTGGAAAATCATTGTTTAAGCAAAGCAGCAACAGCTTTGATTTTAAAAGGCTCATTCTGGCTGCTGGGGCACAAGGACTGAAGCCACATATTGAAGGCCTTTAGAAACCACTTGGTAAACAAAAGAATGAATGGAAAGCCCAGCCAGGCTGGGGTGTCCATTAGTCTTGAGTCTCCTTGTGAGGGATTTTAAGGCCCTCATTGGAGCATCTGGAGGGTTTTCTAGCTGCTTTGTGAAGTTACCCATCATGGCATTAGACTGAACAGCAGCCCTAAGGGCCCAGACCCTCGAACTCTGTTCAGTTCCTATCTCTTTAAGTCAGAGATTGGCTCATGGTTGACTGCCCTTAGTCACTCTGAGCTCCTGCTATGCTCTGGGGACCAATGTGGGGCAGTGATGCTAGAGGACCTTCACTCCCTTCTTCCTCCAAACTCCTTCAGTAATTTTGACTGCGTTCCTGCTCAGCATCACATAGTATCTCACCCTTTAGAGAAGAGGCCCTGTCAGCTCAATAATCGCTCACATGAGTGGACAATGACCCCTAGGATAAGTACTATGGAGGGCAGGCTTGTGAAGCTGTAAGAGTACCCAACAGTGATTCCCAGTCAGGGAGGGCAGAGGTGGCTGTCCCAAGGACATGGGTCTGAGGAGAAATGAGGACTGTGTAAGTAGAAGCTGGAGGATATGTTCTAGACAGGGGCAGCAGCCTGGACAAAGGTCATAAGCACTGATGACCAGCAGAGACCAGGGTGGCTGGGTGGAGGGTGGAGAGGGAGGTGGGGTAGGTGTGGCTGCCAGGAGGGCAGGGCCTCCTTAGCATGAGCTAGTAAGGCTCTTGTGTCCTAGGAGCAGTGGGAAGTCCCTGAAGGACTGCATGCAGGTGGTGGCCTACTCACTCAGGAAGCTCAGTCTCCTGTTAGAGAGGACCCAGGTGTGGAAGATGATACCACTCTCATCTTACCTGTTCAGACATTTCCCTCCACCTTCTGCCTGCCTGTCAGCACCACCACAATAGTAACTGCTCTCATTTACTGAAACCCTAGTAGGTGGAACCATATGAAATTGCCAACATACAACCATCCTGACACACAAGGAAGTCAATTTTAGCCAGGTGTGTTAGTGTGCACTTGTAATCCCAGCTATTTGGGATGCCAAAGAGGATCACAAGTTCGAGGCCAGCCTGGGAACTTTAGTGAGACCCTGTCTCAAAATGAAGTAAAAGGGACCAGGGTATAGCTCAGTGGTAGAGTACTTGCCTGGCATGCTTGAAGTCCTTGGATCAACCCTCAGCACCACGCACACACATATACAAAAAGGCAGTGTTTTGTACTGTTTAACCTGGTACTATGTGTTAGGTCCCTGACCAAGTGTGTTTTAACCTGTAACCCTCAATTTTTTTTTTTTTTTTTTTTTTTTTTTTTGGTACCAGGGATTGAACTCAGGGGCACTTAGCCCCTGAGAAACATCCCCAGCCTTTTTTTTAATATTTTATTTACAGACAGGGTTTCACTGAGTTGCTTATGGCCTTGCTAAGTTTCTAAGGCTGGCTTTGAACTTGGGATCCTCCTGCCTCCGCTTCCAGAGTAACTGTGATTATGGGTATATGCCACGACGCCTGGAAACCATCTATTCTCTAAGACAACTTCACAATAATATGGGCAGTTGTGAACCCATTTTAGGGATGAGATAGCAGCTTCTGGCTCAGCAGAGGAGCTGGGATTTGAACCCAGCATGCTGAAGTTAAATACTCCACTCTGAGCCTCTTAAAATGAAATGCCAAGTGGCCAGCTCGCCTGTAGAAGGCAGCAGTCCAAGGCCTGCCTAAGTGGCTTGTTAAAGAGGCTGTTAGTACTTGGACTTGAGGACTCTCAGAGGCTAGAGATTCCAGATGGCTGGGAAAGGGATATTCATTATCTGCTTTTTTAAAAGGAACTGTGACACTTGGGGAATTATAAGTGAGTTAATTTAATGTTAATACCTAGAAATATTCTGGAACAGATCATTTAAAAATCAATTTTCACATATAAAGAGAAAATGAGATTATTGAGCAGTAACCAGACGGCACTAGACCTTGGGAGAGGGGCTCGCCTGAGTAGCTAGTACATGTCACTTCCGTGCAGGATACACATGCATGGGGAGTTGGATGTTTGCTTGGCTCATTTGGAACTAATATTCCTATTAATTTTTATTTTCTAATCTAAGTTGTAAAAAGCTGGCCATCATCCCAGAGCAGGAGTGGCGGGGGGGAGCACTAAAGAAGAGAGAACCAAAATCCATTAAGAGCCTGCTGTGGGCACTTTGCCCACTACATTTGTGCATTTTCTGCCATTCCATCCTCAGAAAGCCCTGAAGAGGTAGGTGTTACCACTCCCACTTGGGGTCAGAAGGATGCTAGGTGTTTTAGGATGCAAACATGGTGACTTCCCTGAAGTCCCTGCCATCATGGCCAGACCAGGGTGGTGTCTGACTCATGAGGGAACATGGAGTGAAATCCAGGCAGAGAGAGAGGCTCTGGATGAGAAGGAGGTTTCTCAGATTCCTCTGTTGGCTGGGAACTAGTTTGCGGAGAGGGAAGTGTCTTCCTGGCTGACAGTGAAACATAAAAATGTTCCCTAAGTAGTGCAGAAAAATAGTGTCCATCTAGTTATTCATCCCATTGCCTTTGACAGCCTCTAGGCGCTGGGCTCCGTGACAGAGACCAGTGTCTCTGGGAAGGACAGATGCTCCAGGAGTCCAGGTATCTGGACTCTGCTCTTAGGGGTTCACCATTCAAAACACACCTTCTGAGGATTTCCTTTGGGGTGAATAGAAAAGGGCCAAAGAATCCATTGAGAAGGGGAAGGGCTTCTGGGGGAGTGGGTGAGTCCAAGCCTTGCAGGCCAATGGAGCTACTCAGCATGGATGCTTGAGTTCTTACCTATATCATGTTGGATGCTGATTACAGTGGTGGAGTTCACAGTTACTGAATTATACAGATGAGAAGACTGAGGTACTCTAAGGAAAATACAAATATCTGATTATCCTAGATATGAATATCTTATTATCTGTCTCTCAATCATCTCTCCTGTTTTTCTGGAGGACCCTGGCTAATGCAATCACTTACTGAGTGGGCACATGATTTGAATCCTGGATCCAGTTCCAGGCTGGATTTTGTGATGTTGTCAGGTTCAGTAGGTGAGTGAGCCTGAGGAAAAGCACAGATCCACCTCTCAGGGAGTTCACGGTAGGTTGTCTCTGCAGCAAGTGCACACAGGAAGTAATTAGAGAACTTTCAATGCAGAATTCAATTTCCAAGCCAAAACGTGCAGAGCAGATATTTTTTCTTCATGAAGCAGGTTCTTTGCAATCGTGTCTTGGAGCTCTGTGATGTGACTTACCCAGCAGGAAGGGGAAACAGTGGCCACCCTTGGAATCACTGTCCCAGCCTAGGAGGCACACTGATATTAGTTGGGGAGACCAAAAGAATCCAGATGCTGGGTTCTCACCCAGAGATTCAAATTTAATTGCACCGAGGTTTGGCCAGAGTTGAGAAGCACTGCCTCAGGACATGTTGATGTATGAGATTAGGTGCGTGTCACAAGGAAAGAGTGAAGAGGGAACCAGGGCAAGGTTCAGGAACAACTAGGCTCTCTTCTGCCAGCTGCCTGTTTGTGTAAATAAAGTTTTATTGGAACACAGCCACACCCATTTGTTTATGTATTGCAATGGGTTGCTTTCAGTAAAACAGCCAAATTGAATGTTGCAACAGAGACTGTCTGGCTGCAAAACCTAAAATATTTATTATCTGGCTCTTTAAAGAAAAAGTTTGCCAACCCCCAAACTGGGGAGTGATGAGTTTTCAAGGATGTGGGTGGTGTGGGAAAAACTGGGCCACCAGTCAGAGTATGGCATGCTTTCCCGGGGCTGAGATACTGCCTCAGAAGCCTTCTCAACACATACAGGCTGTCACTGCCAGCCCAGCAGAGAAGGCACACAAATGGAACCTTCTCACCATCTAGTGAATCCACTGAATCTGAAGCTGGACCTACTGACACCCCTTGTCAGAAGTGAAAGTTGGGGCTGGGGATATAGCTCAGTTGGTAGAGTGTTTGCCTTGTGCGCACAAGGCCCTGGGTTCAATCCCCAGCACCATAGGAAAAAAAAATGCAAATTGTTACTTTCTGTGACAATTCATTGAAAGGGTGGTCAGTAGGATGCCCAGGTAGCCCTTGGGGAAGCCACAGGTATTGCTGAGTTTGGCTTTGTTCTCTTGAAGATCTTATGAGGTCAGCACAGCCCAGCAGTTCCGGTCACTTCTCAATTCACCTTTGCCCCACTTCTTTGGACCCACCCCTCTTTCCATATTTGTGACAGAGGCCATGCGGCTGTGTGAGTTCATCCCCTACAACTTTCACTTTCCTGAGTCCATGGGAATCACTGCCTATAGCGTGGGTCTTCCTTCCCAACTGCCCGGTCACTTTCCTGGGCATCACAGAGCTAGGAGTTGACTGTGAAGATGGGTCCATGGAATGCAGATCCTGTGATAGACCTGGACCAAATGGATTTGGACATGGTCATTTGGTCAGTCAACCAACATATGATTATCAGATGTCTCCGTGCCAGGGCCTGGGGATACAATAGTGAGGGAACATGGGCACAACTGTGATTGTGCAGCTGGTCTCATGGGAGGAATTGTGTGTGACTAAAACTGTTCAAGCAAGCATATTTAAATGACCCCCATGTTACTTATATGGACAGCTGCATGTCAGTGAAACCTGGGGAATTCTGCCTACCATACTCCCCACCAAGTTTCAAGTGTACAGTGTTCATTCTCAGAATGAGTTGAAGGCTCTGAGAAGTTCTGCAGTGAAGGAACTCTCTGTGCTTTTCCTTAAACCCAGCTCTCCCTGTGTTTCCCAAACTTTGCTGCTTTCAAAAATGTTTCCTTGTCAGCGTTCTGTGGAGCGTCTCAGAGTTTCACAGATCATAATTTGTAGTCATCGCTCTGGGACACAGCAGAGAAGTGCCACTCCTCAGGCTGCACAGAGGGAGTCACTGGAATCCCGAAAGAGAGGGTGCCACTCTAATTTACTCTTTACTCTGATATCTTCTCTGAGATCCTCCTGCCCGTCCCCTCCCTGCCTGCCTGCTCCCAGACCTTTATTCCTGCTCTCTCTCCCCATCTTATTGGCACCCCATCTGCCAGGGCCTGGTCCTGGTGCATCTTTGCTGAAGATCCTTTTATCCAGAGAAATTGTTATTGTTGTTTTAAATTTCTGCTTCTCACTATCCTATAGCACCCTTCAGGGATTGGCTAACTCTATCCCAAAGGCCTAATATTTTGTAAATTTCTGATACTTGAAGCTTTGCTGCAACAGCCAGAGTTGTTCATTGTGTGCCGTCTATGGCTGCTCTCAAGCTGTGATGGCAGAATTGAATCGTTACCATAAATACCCTATAATCCACTCCATAGCCTGAAATATTTACTGTCTGACCCTTGCCAGAAAAGTTTCGCCCAGCCCTGCCCTGTTGAATGACTTCAGCCATTTCTTCACGGAACCAGCTCATTCTGAGCATGAGATGGGTCAGGTTCTATGAACGGCGGCACACTGACCACGTTGCCCCTGGTATTTTATGTGCCATATTTTATCCCCTGGATTAGTTTCCTTTGTGTCCTCTTCCCACTCAGTAGGTCATCAGATATACTCACAAAAGGATTAATTGATTCTGATCCCAGATCAGACAAGGATTCAGAAATACTGAGGTGACTTGGCTAAACATATCCTTTCCTCCGCTGATCCTAGGGACAAAGACACTTTGACCCTCTTCGGGACACCAGTGCTTTCCAAGGCCTGCCAAAGGATTCTTCTAGTTTTTAATGGAATCAGCCTTTTCAAAATCAATACAGACAAAAACAAATGGATTTGGGGAGGAGAAATAGAACACAAAGTTCCAGAAGAATATAACAGCTGTCCCCAGTAAAGGATGATAGCCAGTAAACCAAATCGGCTCCCCTACCTTTCTGTCCTCACTTCATTTGCATTCTGGTCTGTGGGGATTATTCAATTAAAAGACAATTTAGAAGCTGCCTCCAGAGAGCCCTGGGTGAACCATGGTTTCATTGTCCTTTTCCCAGCAGGCCAAAGCTTTGTTTTGTTAATGCAACTCCCAGTTCTAGGAGAGGAGGGAGGTGAAGATTTGGGAAAGTGCTGATAATCTGTGCAGAGCTTCTAAGGAAAATGAAGATTTCACTTAACACAGTGCTTGGGGGAGAAGCCTGCTGCAGTGATTCCTAGAAAGCAGATTTCTGGAAGGCGCAGCCCTCACCACTGTCCCCTTGGCCTTGGGCGCTTCTGGAGTTGGTCAGGGTATTGCTGCATTTCAAGGTGCTCCCTTGGGTTGGTGTTTCAGTAGGAAGACCACCAGGCTTTCTCTTGTTTCTGGATGCTATAATATGGTTAATTTCACTTTACAAAATGGTTAAAGTTGGAATTCATTCACTTGAATTCCATCTCTGTAAAGTTCTTTTATATTTTTAAGTTATAGATGGACACCATACCTTTACTTTATCTATTTTTCTGTGGTGCTGAAGATTCAATCCAGCGCCTCACATGTGCCAGGCAAGCGCTCTACCACTGAGCCACAACCCCAGCCCTCTGTAAAGTTCTTAATAATTCAGAAAGAATTGAAAGGCTGTTTTGTGACTTCCATTTTTTTTTAAATTGAGGCATTAATCTGTAAAGTATAAGAGAATATTTTCTAGCATAAAATCCACTGAGTACTGGTAAATGGATATACCCAATAACACAGGCTTCATAAAGACACAATATTTATTACGCTCCAGAGCTCTCTTGTACCTCCCAGGAGACCCTCACCTGCCACCCAGAAGCCAACAACCAGATGACCATCACAATTGCCTGCTCTGGAACTTGGTACACATGGACTCACATATGCATACTCTATTGTCTCTGGTTTCTTTCACTTATAATGTTTGTGAGATTCATTCCTATTTTGAGTGTATCAGTAATTTGTCTCTGAATAATAGTCCATTGTTTGGATATCATAGATTCCTTTATCCCTTCACCTGTTTATGGATATTGGGGTTATTTCATATTTTGGCAACACGAATGGGCCTTTCATGAATATTCACATAAATATTTTTGTGGGCATATGTTTTCATTTCTCTTGGGTAAATACCTAGGAGTGGAATTGCTGGGTCAAGGGGTAGTAAATGCTTTATAAGAAGCTGCAAAATGTTCTTCCAGAGTGTTCATAGACATTTTATATTTTAATAAGCAGTATATGAGATTTCTGGTTACTCTACATCATAGACAACATTTAACATCATAAGGATCTTTAATTTTAGCTATTTTGCAGGTATGACATGGCATCCGATTAGAGTTTTGGGAGTGTTATTTTGCATTTCCCTGTTGATTAATGATGTGGAACACAGTTCAGTCTGCATATTGGCTGTTAATATACCTTCCTTTGTAACATGTGCCCATATTATGGTTTACATTTTAAGATATGTTGTGAGAGTTCAGTATACATTCTGAGGGCAAGGCATTTGTCAGACTATTGTATTATAAATACTTTTTCCTTAGCAGTGGCTTTTCTTTTTGTTTTATTAATGGTAAATGTCATGATCAGAAGTTTTGAATTTTCCTAAAGTCCAAATTATAAATTTCAAAAATTGTGAGTGCTTTTGTATCCTAAGAAATCAATGTCTACCTAAAGGTCACATGGGTATTTTTCACTTTTTTTTTTTTTCTAGAAAGTGAGTCTTATCATCCACCTTGAATTAATATGCATATGATGTGACTTAGGAGTTGAGGATGTTGTTCTCATATGTTTAGTCATTTGTTTCAGTACGATTTGCTGAAAATAATTTCCCCACTGCTAGGAGTTGTGATGCATACCTGTCTGTAATCCCAGGGGCTCTGAAGGCCAAGGCAGGAGGATCCTGAGTCAAAGCCTGTCTCAGCAATTTAGCAAGGCCCTAAGAAACTTAGCAAGATCGTGTCTCAAAATAAAAATAAAGTATGAAAAGGGGTGGGGATGTGGCTGTGGCTCAGTGGTTACGCACCCTTTAGTTCCATCCCTGGTACAAAAAAACACAAAATACCCAAAACTTTCCCCATTCAATTATCTAAGCACCTTTATTGAAAATCAATTGACTAAATATATGTTGCTTTATTTGTGGACTTTCTTTCATTCCAATGATTAGTCTATTTTAATGCCAATACTACATTGTTTTGATTAATTAGACTAAGAATTAGTCATGGATGTGAGGCCTAGCATTTTTTATTCTTTTAAATTTTTTTTTAAATTTTTATTTAGCTACCTTTTGTTTTCATATAAAATTTAAAATCTGTTTGACAATTTCTATAAAGAGGTTTTTGCTATTTTGATTGGGATTTTATTGAATTCATAGGTCCTTTTGGGAATAATTGTCATCTTTGTAATGCATTTTCCGATTCTTCAGCAAAGTCTCTCTCTCCATTTATTTCAATTTTCTTTAATTTCTCACAGACATATTCTATACTTTTCAGACATTTCACAGATTTAAAAAATTTATACCTAAGTATTTTATGTTTCCATGCTATTGTAAATGCTATTGTTTTCAATTTCAGTTTCCAATTGTTCTTTTTTATAAATATACTTTTAGGTGTTGATGGACCTTTATTTTACTCCTTTATTTATATGTGGTACTGAGAATCGAACTTAGTGCCTCACACATGCTAGGGAAGTGCTCTACCACTGAGTTACAACCCCAGCCCTTCCAATTGTTCTTTATTAAAATATTGACATAATATATGTGCTTTGCCCAGTTGTTAGGTGTGTAGTTGAATAAATATCAACTAGGTGAAGTTGGCAAATAGTGCTGCTACCTGATCAACCCCCAATGAAAAATCCTGAGCACTGAGTCTCTGATGAATATCCCTGGTAGAGACCATTGTGAAGGGGTTGTTGAAGTTCTTAATGGAAAAATTGAGTGCTAGTTGTGTGACTGCGCTGGGGCCAGGCTTTTAATGTACCTCTTTCCTTTGCCGATTTTTGCTTTGTTTCTTTTTTAGTGCAATAAACCTTTTAACAGAATCAACATTTGGTTTCCTTGATGTTCTCTATTGCTTTCCTATACTCAATTTTATTGA